ATGTTGGGCCAACAAAAATCTGATGTCTGGATGCGCGGTGCCAACATTGAAACAGGTGGGGGAGGGAGGGTGGAAAATATGTATCAGGAAATGGTATATTACAACCGAGTGCATGTGAAAACTAGATTGTCCCAATCTATATTGTCAAAGATTGTAGCCACTTTGTTAATATATATGAATTAAATCCTGGAGATATTTTTATATTTTGCTCCAGGTAATTGACGGCCAGTTCCAACTGTCTTTCCCGTTCCGCTTTCCTGAGCAAAAACATATGGTGTGCTTTTTTGCATTTTGTTATCCTTACTCGTACGAAGAAACCCAACAATACCTGCATGAACTGGACAACAAACTCAAATCGAAGCCTAGCAATGTGACATCTTCCATATACTACCACAGAGAATTGATATGTAAATCTATTGATGATCTTAGAGTTGATTTGATAACTGTGTCCTCGCATAAAGGAATTCTTGAAGATTTAGAGCCACGATTGGCTGGATTATTCCCAGATTTGCAGACAAAACGGGCGAATCGGTTTAGCGGAAAAAAGGTAATGCAGTGTCGGAATTAATATGAAATAGTTTTCTGATCTCTGAGGATGATTTGTAATAGCAATATATATTTCTCACACACAGCTGGGAGCTGCTGCAGCCAACTGCCACAAGCTTGACATATTTATTAATTAACCAACAGTAACACAGCTAAAATATTTAATACATACAACAACATATCTTAGAAAAAATCCCACAACCAGTTCTTAATGAAAACAACATATTATAAATACTTTTAAGTATCCAAAAATGCTTCGGGGGTGTGGGAAGCAACAACAAAATGTGCTTCCTCAACCTGCACCACCTGATTATAAAGCAGGCGCCCAGCGCAGTGTGTGAGAAAACATTTTCTGCTTCTTATGTTCCTCAACCAGCAGAAAATTATACTTTATATTCCAGGTATTCATATTAACAAGCCGTGTGCATCCAGGCGAGACTCCTTCCAGTTATGTGTTTAAAGGTTTCCTCGATTTCATAACCCGTGCAGACGACCCAAGGGCAGCAGCGTTGAGAGACAGATTTGTGTTCAAGCTTATACCATTACTCAACCCTGATGGTGTAAAACGTGGTCACTATCGCACGGATCAGAGAGGGGTTAACCTGAACCGTGTGTACCTCGACCCAAGCCCAGAACTCCACCCAACTATTTTCGCTGCCAAGTCTCTTATAGCATACCATTACAATGGTGCAACGTCATTGAGTGAGGCAGCAGATGATGGGCAGGTCTTGACGTCAGTTCAATTTCCAAGTTGTGAGGTTCGAGGCGTGCACGCAAGTAACGAGGCTTCCTCTGTTTCTCAAGATAACATGTGCTTGCAAGAGAATTCTACAGTTGCAGTAAAAGTGAGTTGTGAAACCAAGGATGAACACAGAATGGAAAATCAAGATGCATCAGGCCAGATCCTTCTCAAAGTAGACAACAACAAAACTGAGCAGAATTGTTCCCATGTTGAACTAACCAATGACAACTCAAACCAAGCATCATGTAAAACATCTTCAGCTAGTCAGCTCCTAACAATATCAGACAGCAAAGGGCATGGCTGTATCGTAAAAAGGACAGAAAGTTCCGAAAGCAGCGACTCTGCTTGTGACAATGCTCAAAACGGTGATTGTATTTCGGACAAAAATTCTATTAACGTTAACCATTCTGGGTCAAACCACTCAACTTTATCCGAGGGTGATAGCCTCGTGGACAATGCTAGTAATCTATGCAGATCAAGTCAATCCAAAAACAACGGGCAAATTGAAGGATATATGTGCAGCACAAAGGTATCTAATGCACACCACCAATCAAATTGTGATAGATATTCTTCAGGGGAATGTACTACAATGGGAAGTGTTGCAGAGAGTGGCAATGGTCAAATACTTTCAGCACAAACTACAGCACATGACTCGAACTCGAACAAAAACCTATCAAGTATGGCTGGTGATAGTTATGTGACAGAGGGTAGCTCCAAGGACAGTAGTGACGCCGGGGTGTCAAGCCAGAGCCACCAAGTCTCAAGGGATGATCCCTCGAACACTGCTGTAGGTTCTACATGCAATTCTGACCCTGCTGAGAATTCACAAGAGCAAACTGGATCAAGTCAGTCGCCGGATACAAGCTACAGTGCAACGCAATCGACCGACGAATCGGATTTTATTCCATGCACAAATCGTGTTAGTCAACCTGGAAATGACATAGACAGTGGTGAATCATTGCCACTGAATTACATACAAACGAAAGAGATAAATGTTACTGTAGATAATGTGAAATCAGTTGCACCCTCAGCTGCTCAAGCTAGCGGACTTGAGGCAATCAACACTGCTCAGAAAGGTGCTAACTCGCATACAATGGTACAAGCACAAAACTCGGAGAATAAACAATTAGACATTTCAGCTAGTAAGGTGACTGAGGGCAAGTTAGATGCAACCGACACTAAGTTAGCGTTTTACGTAGATCTGCACGGACATGCGTCAAAACGAGGTTGTTTTATGTATGGAAATTATTTTGAAGATGAAGAAAGTTACGCGCAGTGTATGTTATTTCCGAAACTTATTTCTATGAATTCCAGCCACTTTGACTTCACCGCATGTAATTTCACTGAGAAGAACATGTACAGCCGTGATAGGCGGGATGGCATGTCTAAGGAGGGCAGCGGACGTGTAGCTGTATACAAGATGACTGGTTTACCGTACTGGTGAGTTTGCAAAGTTTTCAATGAGTGGTTACCATCACTGGTATTTGTAGTCGTGGTCACCACGCTTGCTTTTCAAGTTGGAAGACCCGGGTTCAAAGCTTAGTCGGACCTCTACTCAAGATCTTCAAATAATTGAGGAGAAAGTGCTACCTTTACATTGACATCAGTAAATGGTTAGACTTTCACGTAGGATCGCCTATCAATGGGGCAATAGCCTGTTGGGAAGTCCGACCAAGGATTAAACCCAGGTCTCTCAGCTTGAAAGGCAAGCGTGGTGACCATGGCACCACAGGAGGTGGGGCTGGTTGTATAAAAGCCCTATCTACATTTTAACTACTAACCCGTTTTTGTAGTCAACTCTAAAACACGCGGTCGTGATTGGTTAACTTTTGCACTAACTTGGTCTGTTGTATCATGTGTAACAACAACATTTTGTTTCTACTTCATCCAGCTACACATTAGAATGCAACTACAACAGTGGTCGAAGCACGAACGTCGTCCCACCTGCAACATGTGACGGCGGACGTGCAACCCCGCCACCTCCCCCCGGATTCCCACCACGTTATACAACTGAAATGTACGAAGAGGTGAGTTGCGGAGATTTTAGCCGGTGGGTGAAGATGCGAAGATTTTAGCCGGGGGTGAAGCCAAACGAAGTCGCGGAACTTGACTTAAGGTTAACCTAAGTTATCCTTCCCGGTGATGGAGGTTAATACTCCACATGAAAGTTCAGCAAGTGATTTGACTAATTCCCTTAATTAAACACAGCAGTACAAATTGTATTATTTACACTGTTCTGAAGGCTTACGGACCGAAGGTTAGCGAAATAGGCAGGTTTCTCACAAAATAGGACAATTTCCCTACAAGTTGTCATCTCTACACGGCCGAGGACACAAGCAATAATATTAAAGCCTGCGTGTCATATTCTTTATAGTCTAATTACAGCTCATGATTACTTCAGGTCGGCCGTGCCGTGGCTATTTCAGCATTGGACATGGTGAATGCTAACCCCTGGTCGAGGTTACCGATGTCAGAACACAGCTGTTTGGACGGTGTGAAGAACTGGGTTTATCGATATATTAAAACAAGTAGGAGCACGTCATTTGTGGCCAAGAGGACGGCGCGAACACTTGCAAAGACGTCAAGGTAATGGTAAAGAGCATGCAGAAATGGACTTAAAATCTGCATCTCTATCATTCTTACGTTGTCTACCAATTCTTACTCACCAATAGAAAGTCGAAGATATAAAAATTGAAATGTCGCCATATTTTCTGTGTTCTCATTTTAGTTACACAACCGCAAGTTGTCCGCCAATCCGTGGCGCTGCTGTGGCTGGCAAAGTCAGTTTCACAAACAGTGATGTGTTGCTTCAAGCCGCGAGTGAACATGCGGGAAATGGCAAGAACCAAGATGGACTAGGTATAGTACCATAGACAATAAGTTTTTATCGTGCATATTTTGTGAACAAATTTCAAGTTTGAAAGATCGTTAACTCATTGAGTGGCAGCACTCTCCTTTGACGTGCTAAATCGTCTGGCCTTAGACATAGTAAAATAATAAAGTAGGGCGCATCAGAACACATTGCCACTTTAAGGGTACATAACTGAATACATAGGCAGATTGTCCGATTTAACCCATTGGGTGGCAACACTCTCCCCTTGGCGAGTAAAATCATCTGGCGCTAGACAGAGTAAAAACGTCTGGCGTTAGATTGTAAAGTAAAATTATGAATAAATAAAATTTTCTGATTTCTTTAAAGGTACCTCTACTAAGCAATGGCCATCATTCAGTCGCTACTCATCGGACAAGAAGGGCTTGAATTCCTCTAGTACTGCGTGTACCCAAGTGAGAAATACACAGGTGAGCAAGTTCTGACTTCATCCTTGCATGTACCAACGCATCCCTCAACAACCATGAAGACATATGTATATTGAACCAATCAGGTAACGCCACACCCGGTAAACAACCAATGAGATAACTCCATACCTGGTAATGAACCAATCAGACATCTCTTTACCAAGCAATGGACCAATCCGATGCTTCCATACATTCTTTTTAGATAAATCCGAAGGTGAAAGAGCAAGGCAGGAAACGGCTTGATATGGCTAAAACGGTGAATAAAAAGAAAATAAATCATGAAACGGGATTAAGGAAAACCAAACTCATATCGTCTCTGTGGCTAACAGTACTTCCAGTTTGACTTTTACCACTGAACTAACCAAACCCACAGGTTTTCTCGGTTTCCTCCTGTAGTAACACTGGATCAATAAGGGAGAGTACATACTGGACGTCCAGAAAGAACCCTTTAAAACAACCTAGAACAGATAGAGATATCCATTCTGAATAAAGTTAGTCCATTTGACTCCTTTATTTATACTTTTTCAGACACCTTTACTGCTACTTTCAAACACCGATAGTAATCCATATCACTCGAGAGCAGAGCGGACTGAGAGAGTGTAAGTACCACTTCATGTTTTTACAAAATCGAAGAAATGGTTTGTGGCTATAAGGTACCCCGGACTTTGGCATGCCTTATACACCCTTTTCATAAATGGCTGCCGATTAAAAATTCTGTTATGTGCATATAAATTGGCCCACTAGCCTCGTACTCATGTTAAGATTTCAAAGGAATTTCTACCCAGAAGCGAGGCTAGCTGGGCCAATTTATATGCACATAAAAGAATTTTTAATCGGCAGCCATTTATGAAAAGGGTGTATAGTCACGGTCGGTGGATCTACTTTTCAAATCTGTTTTAAATGATTGCAGTGATGCCCGCTATATTGCATCGGTCACCTTCGCGTGTTAAGAGCAAATGGATAGAAGGATAATAATCCATTTGTTCTCGTTCTTTTAGTGACCAACACATGTCACTAACGTGCCTGGAACGCCAGAAGTCGAGTGTTATAAAGAAACTACGTGAAAATGTCGCCAATACGAGATTGGAAGGTCAGGTGCAAGACGTGAATGGGAATTATGCCGGCAACGATTTGGAACGTAGACATAGCAAGTTGCGAAACACCATGGCTATTAAAAGTTTTGGTATGAATATTACTCCTGGTTGTTTGGCTTGTGGACTTTGTGTCGTGTTCGTGTACTTCGTGTTCGTGTTATTTCGTGCTCGTTTTATAAAAATGATACTAGTTAACCCAGTTATTATTCATATTCATTTCACAGATTGTACCAAGGTTGTTGACTCAAAAAACGAGAGCATAGGGTATGGATTTTTTTGCATTGAGTAGTATGTTCTTGCAGGCGAAGATGTTATTTATCTGAATGTGTTTTCAATAGTTTTGTTAGTAATAAAAAGACTACCATTTATTTAGAGCTGAGATTCCAGCGAAAGATAGCAGCAAAATTTTAAGAAGACCAATTTTATCTCGAAGAAGAAAATCAAAACGAATAATTCAAAAGGTAACTCGTCGTTTTCTTCCATTCCGTATAAATCCTTCTAAATTCTGTCCAGTTTTTCCTTCTTATTCATCTGTGCGATTTTTCATGCAGTGTTCTTTATACTTTCTTTTTTTCGGGCCTTAATTCGTGAACATCACAGTAGAAGTTTTTGTATCCGTCTTTCCTCAGTTCCTGCCTTCTTTGTTTCATTCCGGAGCATATCGACCATTCTTCAAGGCTGGTTTACACTGTCAAAGTTTCTGTGATCACAGTAGGAATTTTGCATGGGTAAATTCTAACTTTTGAAGGATTTGTAAGAAATGTTTGAGCAAACTGACGTAATGTTTAACAGTGAATCAGTTCCCTCAAACATATTTCTTCCGCAAATCCTTTAAAACTTGGAATTTACCAATGCAAAGTTCCTATACTGTGATCGCAAAAATTTTGACAGTGTTATTCTGTTTGTCTCTAACATATGCAGTCGCTGTTTTTCCCCATCGTCAATCCTGAATTATGAGTGCGAGTATAGTGTTGAAACTGCAACCATAGATTTTTTTCTCATTTGCTATAGGATTCAAGAAGGATGACGGGTGATCTCGTGGGTGTTAAGTCTTTGCCACATAACGACGTCCAATTAAACAATCCTTCACAAGTCAGCATGTGATATAGTTGATGTGTGGAAAGTTTATAACGTGTGTGTTCTCGCGTGCGTGCTTTGTGTGATAGATTTCCGGGAAGCACCAGTACGCGTAATAGAATTGTAAGCGATCCACGATCGGATGGCCAACATATATAGACTGCAGTTGATCAACGAGATCGACTGAATATATTTGTGACTGTATTTGCAGTGCAGATGCGCGTATGGCTGTTTAATCGTCTCTGTATGAAATTTTAATTTCATAAAAGAACACGGACAAAAATAGAATAGCGCTATTAGCAATAGAGAAAGCTTGCAATATATTCAATGTTTACATATGCATATAATATATTTTTTATACATTTTAAGAAGAGTGTAAAGTTTAACAAAATTGTAATAAAAGTGTTATTTATACGTGCATCCAGCTATCATTTCATTCAAAGGCTTTCAGGAATTATTGTGGAGGGCGAGGCGGAGTGGGGGGGGGGAGTGCCCACCACTGTCTCACACATATACATCACAAGGGTCGGTGACATACGGCTGTTTGACGCACATTATTCTGTTTCTATCATTTCCCTTCCACCTTGCCATACTGTAGTGACATTCCGTGTCTTTAAGAAACCAGAATTCTACCCTTTTCTTACAGAGGAAGCCGAATAAATCCCGAAGGCCCAGGTTAACCTGAGCATGCTTTAAATCCAGTAATCTGCTCGCCAGCGCCCAATTAGGTTGTGCTGTTATTCCACGTTCCCAGTAAAAGTCGCCTCCAGGCCCTAAACCGCGCTTACCTAAAAGACAAAGAGAAATATATTGAGCTTGAAAATGTGAAAATCGTGATTTTTTCTGGTTTTCTCTCACAGGGAAAGTTGACAGGGTGGGTTACGATAAACACAGTTAAGAAAGTAATATCACAATTGTTATAAAGTATAGGATAAGTATGTAATTATCTAGGATAAGTATGTAATTAGGTGAACGTATAATACTTGATGTAAAGCGCAGTTGATCGTATCCACTGACATGGAAATTTGTGCATGTATAGGTTATTTTGAGGAAACGAGGGGATATGTGATTTATTCAAGGTGCCTCAAAATAACGTACTTATTCTTCACATTGCGAGGTCGCGTTAATGAGTCAGAATAGAAACAATTCTTAATGCCATATTGCCTTCGTTATGTAGGTTTTTCTCATTTTTTGTGCTGCAAAGACATTACAGGTGAATATTAGAGGGGGTTATTAAACGGATATTGATTAGAGGGGAATATATTCCCCGATAAGAACAAAGGAAACCGAGCAGGGTGAAAAATAAATAGAAATCGTGAATGCCGTAGTTAATGTCAAATCTCATCATTCTGGCGTGTAAACTGCTAACGCCACAATTCCAACTCATGGACCTCTGGGAAGGATAGTTTAGATCCGGTAGAGCTGTCCAATATCAAAGTTACTTCACTAACCACACCTCAACTCACCTATATGCCAAATACGACTTAGAGTGGGTACAACTATCTTAAAGCCAGTATCGTTGTTATGTTTCCCAAGTACCAATCCCATGGACTCGCACCAGTCATGTTGTTTATCAGCATAATAGTCACTCTCGAGGGTTTTAAAATACAGCCAAGTTGATTGGTTGATACCATACGCGATTCCACGCAGAACGCGCGCAGTGCGCACGGTGAACGTGTCCGGATGTGCATTGATCATATTCTCCCCAGACCACCCTCCCAGCGCGAACTGTATGACGTCAGCATTACGTCGCTTCACTTCGCTTGCATACCACGTGACCTTCATGAAGTCTGGTGATAGAACAGTGTCCTCTTCGACAAATAAGATATCGTGCTTGTAACCCAGCAACAAACCATCGAACGAGCTGCCTGTAGGTGCAAAAAGAGTAGGTCGTTACGGTTAGCTTTTTGTTATCAAAAACATAAAAGAAAATGGACTCCTTATTGGTGGGCTTCACTGAGCACTATCGTGGCATCGTACAGCAGATGGTATACTAGAACAATGATAATTAGGCATGTGAATTGGATATAAAGAAACGTTAGTCAAATTTATCTAACAAGGAGTGTCCCTTTATGCCATGAGTGAAAAGTCGAGTGTAAAGTAGTAGGCCGTAAAATATGCTAAAATCGCATGCAGATAATTCTAAAGGTTTAATAGTATAAACGCTTAGTCACATTTGTCCACGACGTTACCCACGACACACGACTTTTTACCCACGCCGTAAAGGGACACTCTCTAACAAGTGTCAGTATTTCTGTAGTTGACCATGCACCATCTGTAATATAAACGCTTACTGAGACCATGAACAATATTTTTCTAGCTTACCGAGACCATGAACATCTCGCTTACTGAGACCACCCATGGTATACATACCGCTTATCGTAGCGTTAAAAACGCTCTCCAACACAAACCACCAATGCCCTTTTAACCTCAAAGCATAATTCTTTTCCTTGCTCCTTCCCTCGATCTTCCACACAACAACTTTACAAAACGTTACATTCCTTATAATTTCCAACGTTTCATTGACTTCGCGATCCGTAGTCACCGGCGTCCGGTCCAGCGCGAATATGCAAACCGAAGACTTGTCGATATCTGCCGAAGCGAACGCGATTGATTCCAGACATTTTCTAAGATACGAATAACGGTAGGTGACAAAGAACACGAATACTCCACGCCACGGTCTGAACTCGGACCAATGTGGCGTTGCAAAACGCTCGATCCATTTTGGTAAAATTTTAGTCCTTTTCTTAAATTCTACTCGAGGACTGCGTTGTCTTTTCAACTCTCCGATGTCATTTCTTATGCTTTCAATTCCATGTTTAATCAATCCTAGCTCTTCATTCGCAGTTTTAAATTCTAGTTTGTACTCAGAAAAGTATCGTTTAGTCGTTCGCTCTTCTTCCGCAAAATAATTCAACAAAAGAAAAAAGGAAAACACCAGCAACGCCACAAGAAATACTAAGATTAAACGTAACCTAAACATTGTATATGGCTTTCAATCTCGAGTATAAAACAATATTGGTTTTTTTTCTGACATTTTATGCAAATGCTTTTATTCCATATCATTCTACGTGGCGCGCAATTATTGCTAAGTAACCGATTCGCATACGTTATAATTACGTTTAATTAAGGTGAAAATGTATAACAACATGTACCTGCAATAAAGTGTGTTTCCGAAATTCAGTAGATTGACTTGGAAAACATGACACGAACAAAGACGCGCCTTCGAAACAAAGAAATTATTCGTGTAAACAAAACGTTTGAATGATTTGTGATCCCAGGGATATCCTCAACGTAACAACGTGGCCATTCTGAATAATACAACGTTAAACCACAGAGTAATTACATACAGGGGCCAGTTGTTCAAAGCTGGACTAGCGCTAGCCCTGGGTTAAAATTTAACCTGCTGTTTTAGTTTATGTATTTCTGCACGTCTGTTTATTTCAAAACTTTCGAGAAGAAAACTACTACCGGTTCAGACAAGATCTCTAAAGAAATATTTCCAAAATTATAAAGAAGATGTTGGGAAATTGGCTTTGAATTTCACGTTAACCCAGCTTTGAACAACTGGCCCCTACGTTATTTACATATATTTTACAGCTCATAACTACACTAACAGTTAAAAAGTTGGGGGGTTTTCATGAAAAAACAGGGGGTTTTCATGTACTGACTGTTGCTACCAAGGGTTATTTGAAAAGAAAGATAACTACATTCAAGAGGCAAATGAAGTTTAGTAATGTATACTTTGGCTTGAATAGAAAAAAGTAATAATGTTCTCTGCCGTTGCCTTTGTCGGTTACTCCCTAACAATACTCGTAAAGCCTTTATTCTGCGATTCCTAAATCTACCGTCCACTGATATTTAAAGTGCGAGCAGCTTCCACCTTCTGCATTCGTAGTTCCAACCAGATCAATGATTTTCAGCCCGTCCAAGGCAGTTTGATTTTCTCATGACAAGTACGAAATCCTTCGTCTAAGCTGTCCAAAAAGTCCACGTCTTCCTTCTCCAATACGAACTCAAAAGCAGTTATATTTTCCTCAATGCGGTGCTTATTACTGCTCTTCGGAATGCACACGTAACCCTTTTCCAAACACCATCTTATCAGAACCACAGCGGGACTTCGCTGGTATTTCCTGGCCAACATTCTCAAACTCTTTTCGTCCAGTTTCTGGCCGTTAGCAAGCGGGGAATACGCTTGGATCATGATGTTATTTTCTTCGCAATATTTTACCAAAGGTATTTCCTGTAGAAACGGGTGCACTTCAATCTGGTTAACCGCTGGTATAACGTCGAAGGTTTTATGTAATTCTGTTAAATGATGGATGCCAAAATTTGAAACACCAATTGATCTAAATGATTAATAAAGAAAATGCTGCTGAATTTTATATTATATCATTGCATCAATTCATGTAGTGGCTCATTCTTTAAAGGCAGACGTCTGCTTAAAACTGTCGCATGCAACCTGCTTACAACTTGAGTTGTATTGTGTAAATCAAGCATACAACTTGCTGTGTTGTTGTAAGTGAGTTGTGTACAACGTAGGTGAGTTGTGTGCTTGATTTACACAGTACAACTCAAGTTGTAAGCAGGTTGCATCCCACAGTTTTAAGGAAATGTTGTGTAGTGTAAATAGAATTTAATAAATCTTGTTTTATACATCCAGGATAACTTAAGTTGATGAATCAAAGTAGCCAAAAATAAAAGAGACTATTAAAGAACTAAGCAGTTCTATACAGTGCTATCTTATAGTTGTCCAAATAATGAATAATTATGGACTATGCTGTTTTGGTAACTAAGTAACCAAATTTAGACGCAAATTAAATATATTGGTCATGCATATATTCAATAATCAATAATTAGAAAAATTAGCATTATAATTGTTATAATATAATTATAGAAACGATATCTATCATGACAAGAGTTTGATTAAAAATCCGTTTTATGCTTTACTAAACGAAGTGTCTTTAAATATTATGGAAGTTCACTTCAATCTTACCTCACAAGTTTCTTGTCTTTAAGCTCAATCATAGCTTCCCATGTGGGTAAAATTTTGCCGTTCATGGGTGAATGAATTAAATACAAATCAATGTAATCTAACCCCAAACGTTTTAAACTTTTGTGAAATGCTTCTAGTGTTTCATTATAACCATGGCTGTCATCATATAGCTTCGTTGCGACATAAATCTCCTCTCTTGGTATTTCTGAAGCGCTTAGAGCCTGACCAACGCTTTCCTCGTTCCCGTATCGTGCCGCGGTATCGATTTGCCGATAGCCGGAATTCAGAGCCCAAGTGACTGCGTTTATTGTGTCTAGGCCGTTAGGTATCTTCCACACACCTAGACCAAACGTTGGAATATAATTGCCATCATTGAGTCGAATCCTTTTGTCGTTCTTGTATAAATTCTTCAAGTCACAGCTCGTTTCGCTACATTGATCATTTTCACACAAACATAAAGTCAAATTCAGAATTATACACAAAATTATCACGATAATTTTCATGACTGTTCCTTACTAGAAATAGCCCTAAGTACAGAAGCCTTTATAGTCTTATTCACTTACTGTAAATATCGAGAACTAATTTGACAAGTTCTTGAAAAAGTTACACAGTTGAATTTGAGTCCAACTAGTCCATGGCCGCTAAGAATTATGCCAACATTTCGTTTAAACGTCGCACAAAACATATTGTCTTGTTGTACAAAACGTCCGAGTACATTTCATTTCAAAAGCTTCTACTAATACAGTTTTTATCAAACGGAAGAATTCAGGATGTGATATGGTATTGAATGTAATTTCAAATATTGTTCAACATACCACCACTCTTAGTCGACGGCCATATTGTTTTCCTACACGTTCGAACGTGGATGTCACGCGAGAAATACGCGCGCAGTAAATTAACATAAACAGAGACCTTAAGATTGACGTTTACGGCAAACGTCAAACCGCTAGCGAAGTTTTTGAATTTACAACTCTATTATTATAGCTTTTACACCAGTTTTGAAATATTTTAAACAATTATTAAACTTGTGCTCTTTAGCAATGATTTAAGAAAGCAAATTAACCACTAGTCATGCCATTCACCAAAGCAGTAAATTAAGATTTGGCGTTTGAAGTTGACGTTTGACGTACAAATTTAATGCTTTAACGACTACAAGCCCTCGTAGCAGTTCAAGCATGAAATTTATACGCCAAACGCCAACTTCAAACGCCAAATCTTAATTTACTGCTTTGGTGAATGGCATGACTAGTGATTAATTTGCTTTCTTAAATCATTGCTAAAGAGCACAAGTTTAAGAAGTTTAACATATTTCAAAACTGGTGTAAAAGCTATTATAATAGAGTTGTAAAATCAAAAACTTCGCTAGCGGTTTGACGTTTGCCGTAAACGTGAATCTTAAGGTCTCTAATAGATTATTCCTGCTACAGACTAAATTTTGATCTGGGCAAGAATAATAAATTCCATCACCACAGCTGGAAAGAGCATGATAAAATTAGTAAAATTGCAAAGTTTGGCGTGCGAAATGTTGTAAAATGCATAAAATATAGCCAGGGACGTCGCTATAGGGTGTGTGTGTGGGGGTAACACCCCCCCCCCCCCACCAATAATTCAAACGTTGGTCAAAGTTGGTCAAAATGGAAGTGATATTTGCCCGAAGTTGGTCAAAATGGAACTGATAGGTAAAGGTAAAACTGGGAAAAATTTGGTCAAAGTTTGGGATAAAAGATGGTCGAATTTGCCGAAAGTTATGAAATGGTTCGTAATTTTAAAGCTTTTGTTATGTTTGCGGTGAAAAAATTGGAAGCGTTGCTTATATTGGTCGAAAAATTTTCGAATTTGCTTATGTTAGTCCGGAAAATTTTTTTTGACTATGCTCATGTTAGTCCGAAAAATCTTTTCGACTGTGCTTATATGTTATTCCGAAAATGTTTTTTGACGACTCCCCC